TTGCAGTTTTCCTGCACCGGGTGCTTGTCAGCATGGGGCGACAGTGGCTAATGAGTCAGTTGGAGCTGAAAGTTGCAAGTATGAGGGTACTTCAAAAAGTTCTTGGCCTCACCAGGAACAGTCTCAAGAGAAAGACTGTTCTTGCATTATTTTTCAGCACAGTCTCTTTTAACTTCAAAGCACTCGGTCCACTGATGTTCTTTGATGATCTTTGCTATCCCTTCACGAAAGAAGGTCACCTCTCAAGCCTCCAGGTACTTCTCAAGTGCATGCATGACTCCATCATCACTCTGAAAATGGCAGCCACACAAGTAAGATTTCAGTTTTGGAAAGAGATAAAAGTCAGACGGTGCCAGATCAGGTGAGGCGACACTTCAAGGCCACATTTGGCTGCTTCTGGACGAGTGAACTGTCCTGCAGCAACAACACACCAGCTTAAAGCTTTCCTCTCCTTCTTCCTTGATTGCTTTTAAACAGTAGAGTATTTGTGGACATTGATATAAGGCTTTGTAGTATACAGTTATGCCACAAAATAGGAGCTGCACCCCTTGTTTCTGGGTAAGGCCGAGAACTTTTTGAGGGAATGTTGAATAACAGTCTAAAAAATCTGGGGGTATGGCATTAGATAACAGTTGTACTGTGGGTAATGAAAGTTTTGACAAGGAAAAACAATGTGTGTAACGTTCTTAGAGCTCTCACGAAGCACACTATTGGTTAATAATATGTCATAAAAGCGTCGGGCATTATGGTAGTGCTATCACTGACTGAAATTTGACACGCGAGTACAAATCAAAATGATGCAATTATGACGCAAGTATCTCCAGTATAACTCCCATCAGCCTCTCACAGCAGCTATAAACGCAGTTAAAGTCAAAGACAACTGGATTTCCCAGAGACTTCATCACCTTAACGGACTGGAAGTGAATTTCTCAGCCGTGTAAACCTCTATTAGACGGGTTATATCAGGAGTTGGAAAAAAAAATCCAAAACGTAGATGATAAAGACTTTTTTTTATCACAGAAGTGGGTCTAGCGGTTCACATAATCTCAACAGTTATTCCACAACAGGGTCAGCACACACAGTGTCAGCCGCACAACGAACAATTACCTTGGCCAAGTTTCACACCACAGAAAAGGGCACAGAGTCGGCACTGCACTATCAAACGCACCTCCCTCCATCAGTGAATATGAGCGAGAACATGGCTTCAGTATACATTTATGTATGTATTCCATGCATATGTCAGATACAGAAACAGGAACACACAGATGGCCATTTGCACCGTGTTTCTAATCAACACCTAGTAAAGCGATTTGTGTCGTTCCTCTCGTGCCCTCTCCATCTGTCTGCGTCTCCTCTCTTTTTCAACTGAGGTTGCCAATTCTAATCACTGAAGACTGGTAACTCAGTCTTATGAGCATTTCCATGTTTGTTATGGTGGTAAAATGCATCCAAACGGGAAAAAAAAAAAGTCGCATCAAGCAATTTTTACATATATTTGTCAAAAAGCTCCCATTTTTTCCACATAAATGCTTTTTCTTCTCTACCACCACTAATTGATGTACATTTATGGCTTTACTGCTACTTGTCGGAAGCCACCAGATGTGGAAAAATGGAGTGTAGCCATGTAGGGATTCATTACTTGGGGAAGCAGAACACCTGGACTGACTAAACAAAAGGTGATAAAGGAAGAGGGAGGTGGGGGCGGCGCAGCACAGATAATGTGGACAATCCCAGGAAAACAGCTGTGCTGGATGCAGAAACTAAACACAGGAAATGAAATGTGCATAAAAGACAGGAGGGGAAAGAGGTTTTACAGAATGTGAGACGGTGAACAGACAAAGCAAGAAGACAGATAAAGAGCAATGCCTAAGAAGCAAAGGACTAAACGTATGTCTTATTTGTGTTGAGGAAACAATGACTTCACTGTCTTGTGGCTTGTAACAGTGAAGAGAGAAGTTTTCAAAGAGGACAGAAGACGTAAACAGGCTTTTACATTTACACAGATGGGCTATGACTACCTTTACCGAATATGCGGTTGGTCCTTTAAAATCCCACACAAACAGCACTCACCGCTCAAAGCATGGACTCCACAAGACCTCTGAAGGTGCCCTGTGGTATCTAGCACCAACATGTTAGCGGCAGATACTTTAAGCCCCCGTAAGCCGCGAGTTAGAACCGCTGCGGATCAGACTCGTTCCGGCACATCCCCCAACACCCCGTCTCCTCGGACCGCCGCTGAATGGGAGCACCCCACAAGCCATGCCTGTTCAGAGATGTTCCAACCCAGTCTTCTGACCCATTTCTCCCTATTAAATGACCGCGTTTCACTTCTGTCTAAAAGAAAAACCAAAGCGTACATACTGACTCCATCTTACACTTGCACCTTGTTTTGTTTTTTAAAGTCCACTGGAGCGTAAAGATATGAGCGTTTGTCCAGATTAGATCTTCATAACAAAAACACAACATGCAAGAGCGTGACCATAACTGAGAAGAATAGAAATCAGATCCACAGCTACGACTGGCTACAGCTAGAAAGTCCAAAAATCACAAGGCTAAAGGCCAACAAGTACATTCTCACAGCTATAAATGGCTACATCCCAGCATGACTTGGCCTTGTCAGATATACTACTTTTTCTATACTCGGATGTACATCTACTCGCTCCAGTGGCTCTCTCTATATGTTTGACTATATATCAGCAACCTACATCTGGAGGAAATAATTTCATTTCCTTCGTGCTCGGTTATAGGAAAAGCCTGAGATTTCAATCTATAGCACCAACATATTGCATTTGTATTCCTCTGAGTTCGACAGAAAGATATTGTGTTGAGAGCACGTTTATTTGTGTAGCTTATTATGAATGAGCAGATATTGCCCCTGCGACTGGTTTACAGTGTGTCATAATGAAAAATGGCTGGAAATGGGTGAAAAAATACCGAACAATGACAAAAAGCCGCATGAGCGACAACAGGCTCGTGACATTGAGAATTTAATGGAAACCGGGGAATGCAAATATAGGAGCTCAGTGTGTAAATATGTGGAGTTTTCATCACGCTCAGAAAGCTCGTGAGTCATCCGTTTTTAAATTGACTAATGGTGACAGATGAGAGTTGCATCGACGATGGAGACACAAATCATCAACAAAAGACAAACCATTTCTCCCATGCAGCCTTCACTGGTTTGACAGCTGTGCAGTCTGGATGCTTTTGTGCAGGTGACAACACACAGAAAGTCATTTAAGCTATTTGTCATGACTAATCCATTAACCTGCATCATCTTTTAGGTAATAACACATATTAAAAAACATATAGAAACCCATCTAACCAGTTCAGATACTACATGTCTAGCACCCAAGTCTCATCTCACATGTACCACAATCAACACAACCCTGATTTGTATGAAGTCACATTGCCAGATAAAGGCATGCACAAGATTACGATGTACTGTCAAGCTGTACTGACTGTCCAATCACTCATGTAAAGTAAATATAACAGACTATTGTACCTCATTACATAAAAAAATTGGCACTTTTTAGGAATTTCTATTTACAGTTGGCTTGTTCTGACAAAACCCCCGAATCCCCCAGAGGAAGTGAACGATCTGTACCGCTAGATGTGGTAACACGATGAGGAATGTGTGTTTACCCGCTATCAAACAAATCAATGTTTGCGAGGCTTGACCTGTGACTATTCTATAAAGAGGAGCCACGACGTGCTTCTATGTGAGTGATCACTGTTTGTCCTGTGCACCAAGTTAGTCACGTAAAATCAAACTTTTCTTGAAAATGCAATGACAATGAATCAGCCCAGTCAATCCTGGTTGACTATATGTTGTACGTGTCCAAAGGAGATGACAAATACGTTGCTGATTTGGAAATGTAAGTAAAGACAGAATGACATCATAAATAAAGACAGAATCTTACCCCTAAAATTGAATCTGTAATATCTGACTTCCTGTTCTATTGAAGTAAATAAAGTTTGCAACAGTTGATAAAAAAAAAAGGCAGCATACTCCCGACTATTGAAAAAAACAGTGGAATTTTAATCGTTTAATCTGCTGTTAAACTAAACGCCGCAAAAAACAGTCTGAGCAAGAGAATGCGGCGCTATCAGGCCCAAGGACAGCCGCCGTTTTATTGCCCCCAATGCAAGAAGCGTTCTTTCATCTTGATGAAGAGGAGAGTGAGCAGCTGATGAATCAGTGAGGCGTCGAGACACACATCAGTCACGCTGAAATACGCTCGAGCAAACACTCTCAAACCTTCTGAGGAGGTGAGACACACATATGGTGCCGCACACCTCGGCAGCACACACGTCATTTACCACTTAATTGGCAAACTGATGAACAATAATAGATGATTAGCTTCAACTTATAGTCTCACATTTAGTCTGTCACACATCCCTGTATTTGCAGTTACAGTCACAACCTCCGAAAAACGTTATTTAGCCACAATCACAGTCAAAAATGGGATGTACCATCTGTGTGAATGCATCTACTTTCTATTAAAAATGGAGATGCTGCATGGTGTGGATGTTCCCCAACATTCTCAGCCCATTAGTCCAATCACACCCGTGTTAACGTGTTGTCACATTAAGTCCTGATGTCTCAATCAGCCCCCACTGAGCCGCAATAAAAACATTATTATTCAACCATTTGTTTGGACGCAAGAAAAAAATCAGTTTAAAACAATGGATGTTAAATCGGGGTGTGAAATTGTTGCCGTTTTGCAGAATACACACTGCTGATTAAATTAGCATGAAAATGAATGGTTGATGGCTGATCACTGAGTACGGTTTGTCAGAACTACAAAAGCCTTGTCACTTACTGTCATTCCTCCGCTTCCTTAAAGTTTTATTTAAAATCTAAACATCAATGCTCTGTTTGATATTGCGACTTTCAAATTTGAAGGAAATGTCAGTTCTCGGTGAAAACTTTCCAAAAAGACGAGACGGTGAGAATGAAAAAGCAAACACAGATTGATATGTCACTCGAGTATACTCACAGGTTCTTGGATTTCTTCTTCTTCGTTCCTTCGGGGCCGACCTCGCAGCTACAGGGGGATCCGGAGCTCAGCTGAGGGGAGAGGAAGGAGAGGACACACTGCATCATCCACCCTCCACACAGAAAGAGGGCTCTGTAGCCACATGCAGGTTCTGGAGCTAACTTCAACGGGCAAAGTTGAGCTGGCCCTGTAGGCTAGTGAGTCCTCGGTGGGTCCAGAATAAGCTACACAGAGACCAGTCCAGTCTGTAACACACAAAGCCAGCCACCAAAAACGATTAATCCATAGCAGCAGTCCGCACTGTAAATCCCACAAAGCTCTCTGAGGTGGTTGTCCGTGTCTTGCTCAGGAAAAACTTGAGTGTGTAGGCAGCGGATGGTGATTGTAAATGTCTGGACACAAGAAAGTAAGAAAGATCTGCGAGAGTGAGAGAGTGTGAAAGACTACAGCTGTTGTTTCTGTTGGCCTCCAACTGTGCCCTAGGATTGAAGTGTTGAGCCAAGACCCCCGGTTTCACGTTACACTTTTTTTTGCCAACCCACCATTTTGATTGGTTAAGAACAAAAAAAAAAAAGGAAGTTGCTTCAGGGTGGGGACGGGGTCAATCTCTACTAATCTGATGGCCTGAAGCTGCCCCATTGTGTGTGTGTGTGTGTGTGTGTGAAGCTCTGAATAATGAGCCATTGTATTACGGCAACACACAGTCGAATCCGAGCGAGATACTGGACACAGCTGCTAACACATGGTGTGTGTTTTCTGGCTTTGTAGGAGACGATTTGAGTTTCAACCTTGAGAGTGAGGACACTATTTGCAAAAAAGGGAGGACGTTTTTGGCCGGCCTTCGTTTCTTCAAGGTGTTGTTGTGAGGTTGGAGTGACACTTGGCTCTAAAGTTTGTAGTTGCTGAAGGTGAACAGCAGCTTGAAGTAAATTACAAAAGTTGTCACAAATTCCTCCAGTAGTGCAAGAAGATAGCTACACATACTCTCCAAAAATCCCTTTTAACAGTGGATTCCATAGTAGCTGCATGACTTCAGGCTGACCACAGCTGCTGTTTTACTTCAGTTGCAGCACCTTTAACAGCCACCTCTCGAGTCAAAAGTGTGTCGCTTAGCATCTCCAAAATGCCAAACGATCCTCGAAGGTTTAAATACAGTGTTACTCAAACACGAGTTGCAAAGGCTAAAAATGAGGGTCCTCACTGGTATAACACCACAAACTTATTGAAGTGTACGTGTGATTACTCTGTCCGGTTGTGTGTGCATGCAGCAGGAATAGCCGCATTGTGTTTGTGAGGCTATTATTATGTTTCAACAATAATGCTGAGCCTTATGAGCAAACATTTCCTGCATTATGCATCCATCCATCCATGTGCAGCCACCCGACATGTACCAGCTGCCGAAACTAATATCCTGTTGTGCGTTTGCATTGTCGTCGGACCTGTTCAATACATCATGAAGCTATTTAGGTGACAGACACCTGTAAAGAACACCAAGAGAGGGTTTCGTGAATTGCTCTTCATTCGTTTGTAGAAATAAGAGTAGAACTGTTTTCATGATTGTTCTTCACCTTGTGAAGCTGACAGACGGCTTTCACACGTCTGTCACCAAGTTTCATTCTCTGTTTAAAATACACTGTCTTCAGGCTGATTTGCCTCTTTTAGACATTTTAATAATCTTTATGTAGCTTGGATGTTTTCCCAAAATCAACCAACGTCTCTGTTTGGGTTGTTTTCTTTGTTTTATTTATCCTCAGGTTTCTGTCAGCAGAACCCTACGGAACCTGCCCAGGTTGTAAATTAGACCCACTAAGGGTGACTACAACGTGTTAACGCCCTTTCACCTCTTTTGATACCTCAGACCGTAGCCGGTGTGGCCTTTTTGATCGATACCAGCTAATTATCTTGTCATTTCCAGCGCGTGTCAACGGATTTGTCGCAGCCTTTGCTTTCATAACTCGTCTCCCCCAACCGAGATTGAGGTTGTCGTTGTAGGAAGTGTCCACTGATGCACTCCAAGCATTCGGACTGAATTCGCAGTTGAGTGTGAAAGGCGGGTGAGCGTGTGTTATGTAGGAGCCGCCTAAAAATAAGTGCGAGCTAAGAGCAGAAACAAAATACACTTAGAGCTGCTGTTTGAGAAGAACAAAGACCTGTCAAGCTGTCGGCTGTGTGTGGATGTGGAAGGAAGATTGTGTTGCCCGTCTGTTTGAATGACTTTAAAAAGACTCTATATACTACTATATAGTGCGTCTGTAAGTCAACATTGTATTTCTAATGCAATCTTGTCAAAAATGATGCCTATTGGTTCTTTTAGAACATATTTCCATAACTAAAATGTTGTAGTAGTAGTAATGTGGCTTTTACAACCACGCAGGTGAAGGCTTGAGTCAATGTTTACATCCCTCTGTACAATATACTATTACTGTACGTCACAAAATGACGTCGTCGTGTTAAATGTCACAACCTTTCATCAGTCACCAGTGACACTTGTGATATCCAAATCTAACAACAGTCTCACAAGAAAGTCAGTATTTTATATATTCTCCAGTTCTTTTAAGTAAGTTATCATCCTTCTAAAACCATTTGTTTTGGGGTTTTTTTTAGAGATGAAAGCACTGAGTTTCAGCAGAACCAAATTAATCATTCATCTCAGAGGGAACAGCAACACAGGAGAGTCCAAGTCCCTACGGAGTCGTCAGCCAGGCTTTCTCTGGAAACTACAGAAAACAACTGGAAAAGACGCAGACAGTGGCTCCTCCAGAGACACTTGTCCTAATGTCAGGTCAGCCTTTGTTCACTGAGCCACATGCATGTACATGCTAGATGCTCATTCACGCTGGGCTGCTATGTTCCCGCTGAATGACATTCACATGGATGCACACGCAGGGAAATACTGCATGTGCAGTTTCTTTCAACTACAGGGACTGTTCATACAACTGCATGCAAACTGAATTAATCAGCAACTTTTCCTAAACACATCTGCAGGTGGCATTCAAGCTGGAGCAGTAAAATGCGACTTCCAAAGATAGATCATGAAATAAAATATCTTCTGAGACCTGAAAGACCTGAAGTTTGAAAGGCTTTGACTCGTTACCACCGCGCACATGGTGCCAAACCTCCTGTCTGCACCTGATAGCAGAACCACAAATCAAGATGCATGACGGCATCTTGTCAGCGGAAAGTCAGTTAAAAGGGAGGAGTGTCTTTAAAGTCCAACACCATAATTTTATACAGACTAAAAATGGCCATCCAGCTTCCTTTTAATTTCCATTTATGAGGATGAGGGTGCAATCGAGAGGAACACAGTGATTAAATTCAACCTGAGAGGGGTCATTATGGGCTTCAACAAATCACCACCTGCCAACCTGAATACTGGCTTCTAACAGGAAATAGTTTTAGGGCACAAGGGGATAGATACATTACCTATGCTATAAATGAACCGTACTCAAACACTTTCATAAGGGCACGGTGCTGCTGACCTAGGCCCACGGTGAAAGATGTTATTACAGAATTAGTTGACATTATCCGATTGTAAAACTTTAGTGCCTTCTGGACCTGCAGTTTCCATCCAACACCTGTGAGAACTGCAGGTACACTGCAATTCTGTTTGTGTGTGCCATCTACAGGCAAAGAGGGCAACTGCATTTTCAGACCTGTGCCACCTGCAGGAAGAAGGAGTGATAACTGCAGTTGTTGTATTTTTTTTTTAGCTACTTAACATAGCTATGTTTATCCTCAAATTTTGCCACACATAAAGTTTTTGTATTAACCTTCTGAACTCCAAAGCCCACCGGTGGGTTTAAAAGGCATGCTATATTTTTAAAAAGTCACAATTAGTCAGAAATTTTAAATACTGAAAGAATTGTTGGATTTTCAACTTTCTCAAGGACCCTGAACTACTCAACTGTTTCATCTGAAAATGTAACCTTAAAATTGTTGTATATTTCAAAATCCTACATACATCAATTAAAAATTCTCCACAAATATATCTTCTTTGCTCGAACCAGATTCTGTATGAAACAAAAAAGAAAATCTGCACATGTCAGTGCAGCTGTGAAGCCGTAACTGATAAGAGTCACATGACAAAAACTCAGGGACTATTCAGCTGAACTCGGCTGAACTGCAGACAGAAGACAAAATGTCAGCAGTAACAGATCTGTGGTATGTAGAGTCACCATTTCCGTCCAGTTTTGGCAACACCTTTAGGCAATGGTGCACATGTTGACTTCTGTTTTTTTTGTTCGTTTGTTTCCCCTAACTTTTGAGAGAAATTTAACAATAAATAAACAATGTTTTTTTTCTTTTGTTATTATTATTTATGGCACTATTACTTTGTTACACTGCACAGAAGATATTTTTGAGTTCTCTCTCCTTCTAGCCACGGTTTTGCTTTTTCAATAGAGGTGCAGGACGTTATATCGCTTTGAAAAATGAGCCCACAGTGAGTTAAAAATGTGATAGGTGCAAAGAAAACACTCAGACATTGCTTTAAGTTCAGAAGCTTAAAATATAAAATTCCAAGAATACTACAGTATTATAAGTTCATACTAAAGTTTCTCTGAGTTGTTTCTGGCAGTCATATCCCAGCCTGGCCTCTCACACAAAGGACACACCACACAATCTACTTGACTGCCTGGCAATGGTCAGTGGAGCATAAAAAAGACTTTTCTAAAAATAACCTTGGTGTGAGTGTGTGTTGGCTGGTGTGTGTGTGTGTGTGTGTGTGTGTGTGTGTGTGTGTGTGTGTGTGTGTGTGTGCGTGCTCATGCACTGCTCACATGCCTCACTGAAGACAGTAAGAGAACATAGGATTTGCCAAAGATCACACAATGATACAGGCCCCTGAGGCATTGGATGCAGATGTTGACACACTGTTAAAGGTTACGCGATGGTTGTGCAGATACAGGTTTAACAGGCTACATGTGTGTGCCACACGTGTCTTGGGAGGCAGTTCTGTGTCACTATACAAGCATGCACGTGTGAAAGAAATCGTATGGACAAACACGTCTCGGACGGTGCTAAAGTAAGTTCAAAACATCCATGGAAACATGTGGAGACACACATGGACGTT